ATTGCCTCATCAAAGTAATATGCCCCCTCAAACTGGAAACCCAGCAAATCAAAGTTGTGCGGGTGGACAGGAAGGAGCCAGAATGCAGACTTTATATCACATTTAGCCATAAGGGCACCTGTACCAAGCCCCCTTGTCATCTGTACATCTGAATCCAAGAGGCATATTTAAGGGAAGCCAGAGTCAGCTTAATTACATCATTAACAGATTCACCTTTGGGATACAAGCAGTTATGTATCAACTGGTACTCCCCAGGTGCCTTCTTAGGCATCACACTAAGAAGCAATAATTGCAACATTGGTATGGGGAGTTCCCCATGAGGGCCAGATATCCTACCAGTCAGCATCTCTTTAACCAGTTTGTCCCTCACAACCCCTCGTAAGTCAACTGTCAGTATGGAATTAGGTGCAAAATGGAAAGCCCTCAGGCCTCTATATGAAATGTGAAAGCCCTGTGTGAAACCTTATAGTAAGTATTCCTCACTGCCCAATTTGGGATAAATCACCAACCAAGCAGCTAAGACACCCAACTTAATGTGCACTGGAGCCCTTCGCCCCCACCTGACCAATTTGAATGGGGTCCCCAACAGCCCCACCACTCTTGCCTCGGAAACATGAGGAATTGGGGTGGCTCCCACCACATGTGCCACAATGATGGTTGAACCTGCAATTCTGTCTTTTGCACTTATCTGCATTGTACTCTCAGCAGACACCCGTAGCCTTCATATCAGCCATGGCATACCTTGTAAAGGTCCCTTTAGATTGGGTGACCATTGGTACAAAGTCATTGTCACACCGATTATAAGGGGTGGCCCCCACCATCATATCCGACCACAGCTCATATTGCTTGCAATGCCATGAGAGTGGGTGATCCAATGCGGCCTCCAGCAACACCCCCACGTAGATAGTCCAACCCGCAAGCCAATTAATAAAGTTCCTTTCAATTTTGGGCCACTTAAACTCCAATTCTTTTGGGAGGTTCAGCAGAACTCCATCCTTCAGCCAAAACCCTGAGTTCTGGGTCTCTGAACAGCAATGAAAAACATCAGTGTAATCACCCTGCCATATATGCTTCTTCGTGGCCAGCAAGAGATGAGCCCCCCCCCCCCCATGGCATGGATACATCACTGTAGTGGTTGCATTCAGAAGACCTTTCTGCCCCCGTGTTTGTGGCAGCACTGAAGCAGAAGGCTGAGAAGCTGTACTCATCTTGTCCTTGGATGAAGGCTCGGTGATCCCCAAAGAGAAATAATATTGTGAAACCACAGTCATGGAAGCTGAAACCCTAGACTCTGTGGCAGCAGTAGTCCCTCCCCCACCCCTGATGGCCTGTTGTAAGCAAAGACTGGATCCCATCCCCCTGCCACCTGGGGCTGATCGACTCTAACTGTATGACCCTTCCTATCCACTTCCTGGCTGCTGGGTGCCAACATGACAGCTGGCCATGTCTGAGATGGAACAGAAGGATTCAATGTATGAGGGGGTATCATAATGTTTTAATTATAACCTATTAAAAAATTCAACAGAAAGTTTGTTTTGATTTGTAGTTGTTAACTTATCTCTACATAGTCACCATCCAGATTTACACATTTCCCCCAGCATTTCTTGACCCTCCTGTAGAAGTCTGCAGATTGCACCTTATGAGGCTTTTACACTTTAGTTAATTCTGGCACAACCTGTCAAAAAATAAAGGACACAATGAGCTGATTTTCTCCACATCAAACACATAGGGACCAATGATGACACTGACAAAATTTCATCAATATATCATGATAACTTCCAGGTGATAATTATTAGTTTACAATACCCCCTCATAAGGTGCAATCTGCCTCATACCTGACACTGCTGGCTGACTCTCAATTTCAGTTGCCGATGCAGGATCTGAAAGTGGCTCCTGTCTAGATGGGGCCATGCCCCTGTGGTTGTGTGGAGGTGTAATCTACTGGGTAGCCCCACTAACTTGACCTGTAGATAGAACCTGCTGCATGAACTTGTACAAGTCATCAGGAGCCACAACCCTCTTCATGAGCTTCACTGGCCATAACGGCTGCCAAGGACTATGGCAATGGGTCAACAGGAGCAGATGTTTGATCTTGCAAGAATTCAAGGGGTTTCTGGGAGATCCCGTGAGATCTCCCCTATTGGAGGGAGTCTCAGGAGGAGGCAGGACTTCCCAAGACTTGCCCCCCTCATCGGTGTCAGCCTCCCAAATGTTCCCGGTGCAACAAGGGACCCCTCCCAATATGCTGGGGTGAAGCTTTCTATCCAGAAGAAAGATGTACAAATTTCTGTGTAGAAAAAAAATCACGATCTGATAGAGATCTGACTCAGAGCAAGCTGCAATATGAACAGCAGAGAACTTCAGCAAGCTCAAGCTTTATAGAGTTTTTTCTTCTAGCCATGTAGGTTGATGACTCAAGGAGAGGGTCTCTAATGCAAATTTTAAGTCATAGAAGTAGGCAATAGTTTGAAATATTTGATACCCTGAAAACGTGAGACCTCTTTGCTCCCATTACTTTGGGTCTTGGTTCCAATTAATATTTTTTTATTGCTTGTCAACCCAGTCTTAGATATTGAGGTCCTCAAAGATAATATTGTATGTGTTATGACACAACAGGTCTCACACATGAAAAGAAATATATCTTTAATCCAGACCACTTTGTTCTCACTGCTCTTAGGATGATCTCACATTCAGCAAAGCATCTATTACATTCCTGCTGAGACTGTGTCATTTCCACTCTGGTTAAGCAAATTATAGACATGTTCATTTCCCTATGTCAAAAACTCCCTATGGTAGGGGTAGGCAACCTTTCCCTTTTAAGGGCCGAGGGACTTCAGCTCCCAGAAGCCTCAGCCGTGTTGGCCAATAGTCCCATGTTGGCCAATAACTCCTGGGATTCTGGGAGCTGAAGTCCCTTGGCCCTTAAAGGGGAAAGGTTGCCTACCCCTGCCCTATGGATCGAAAGCTGGTATATCAGTAAGGCCTAGCTTTCTGTCTGACTTGCTAGTTTTCTATATGCATATAGCATTTGAGAACAAGTGGAATATTCAAACATGTGATATATTCTAAAGTGGCACAGTCCTTGGCTGCTGCCACATTGCAGAAATAATGCAGTTTGACACCACTTTAATTTCTATAGCTATGGAAATTCAATGTTGTGTAAATTTGGGATTTGTAGTTTGGTGGGGCACCAAAGCTCGCACCAAAGCTCGCTGAGAGGGGAGGTTAAATATTTCACAAAACTGCAAATCCCAGAATTCCTTAACATTGAGTCATGACAGTTAAAGTGGTATCAAACTACTTTATTTCTGCTGTGTGGATACACCCCTAGGACTCAACCATATTTCTGAAGGTTTGGAGGAATTCTTGCTTGTTACATATGCATAAATTTCCTCTGCCCTCACAGTCCCTGTATTTGATTGGGGAATCCAATTAAAGAGCAGAATATTAAATGCAGCCTACAGTTTAACACTACAAATATGGGATGACCCTATGGAGAAGCGGCTTGTTGCCATCTCTATATATCTTCCCACTCCTACTGAATTTCTATGATACAATTCTTTTAAAAATCCTTGTCTAAACTTTCTGAAACTTAAGACAAGTTTACCAATCTATGTTTTGAAACAATAAAGATATGGGGACCAATTTATTTTGTGAAAAGGTACAAAACATCTAATTTTATCACTAAAATTTTTATACTCTCATTTAAGAAGCAGTAAAGCTTTAGAATCAAGCAAATAAATCCTCTGATGCAATTCTCTTCTTATTCATTTCAGGAGAATATTGGATTGATCCCAACCAGGGTTGTTCTGGAGATTCTTTCAGAGTGTACTGTAATTTCACAGCAGGTGGGGAAACTTGCATCTATCCAGATAAGAAGTCAGAAGGAGTAAGTACCAATTTGTTATTATATTCACTGTTTATGGTTCCTGCTGGGTTGTTTCAAGACAGTGACAAAAAGCAGACAAATGCAGTCACTTTTTTGTTCATTTTGTACGCCTTTTTTTTGGGTAAGATAATTACTCTACCAAATTTACATAAGCTCAAACAAGGCAGTGAAATGATAATACACCATTAGGAAAGTCCATCCCTCATTGGACACAAATACTCATTTAATGCAGATGTTAGCTTGCTGCACCTGTTTGTTGGACACTTTTTTTTTGCCTATGCCACAGCTGTGCAGCCATTTTCAATGATGCACAAAGCACACTCTGATTCATGGGAAATGAAGTCATTTTTATGGGTTCTTTTCTCTAACTCTTTCACTGGCATCATTCCAGCGTGCATCTTGTCCATATCACAGAAAGTAGCCATACATATTTAAATGCATATTTTATGTAACTCTTTAGCAACTCTCCAAATGAACTTACTTTCTTTCAAAATACACACTTTAAATGTATTCTGATTCTTCTTGGGAAGGTGAACTGTGCCAGGACATTCAGGAAATAGGGCAAGGGGGGGGGGAGGCAGGTAACTAATTTCTGATTTACAAATTGGTTATGTATTGGTCCAGAATTTCTTTTTTGATGACAGTTCCTACAAACCCTTCTGTCCATAACAAGTAGTCCTAAGTACTAATTTTCTCCCAAGTTCCAATAAAGATATTTCATTCTGGAATCCATGGAGATCAGAATCCAAAAGTATTTCTCCATATTTGTTATACTGAGAGTTGACAACATAAATAAAATCCACACCCAGATACAAATCAAAGTGATGATACAGCACAGTACTAATGCATTACTATCAGGATACTGGATTGAATGGTCTTTTAGGGAAAAAGGTAGGAAAGCAATCAATGAATCAATATCTAACCCAGCAGGGCTCCTGTAGTGTTTTTATACTTGCCTTCAGCTCATTTCTTATTTATGACAATCCTAAAGCAGATCTATCAGGAGGTTTTCATGCAAAATTTGTTGGAGGGTTGTATTTGGTTGTATTTGCCTTCCTCTGAAGCTGAGAGACTATGACTTGCTCAACATCACCCAGTGGGTTTTCACAGCTGAACCAGGGATTTGAACCCTGGTCTCCAGAGTTGTAGTTGAATGCTGAAACCACTACACCATGATGGCTCTAGTTTTTATACTGCTAATATCAAATATCCAAATCAGAGCTCCTCAAAATACCTGGGGAATCAATAATCAGAGGAGAGCTTGGAAGGGGAAAATAATAAACAGTAAGGCAAAGGTTAGAAAGGGTGTTTTGAGGCAGGGACTATAATTCCCAGAATCCCTCAGCCATACTTGGTGGGGGATTCTGGAAGCTGTATTCCAAAAAGCAACTTTTCTAAACGTTGTTCTAAAGCAGATGGTTCTGAACCATTGGCTCTCTGGTGTTTCAGTTTTGGATTTGCCATCCAAAATCCTCAGTCAGCAAGGCCAGTGGTCAGGGACTCAGCTAGCTGATGTACAAAGTTTGAGAATAACTGCTCTGTGTAAGCTCCAAGTACTTTACAATCTTTATACTACCACACAGTCTCTTATCCGGGCACCAACTAATCTGAAACATTTCATCGTAGTGTACACATTTTTGCTACTTTTTAGAGGCCTGTCATTCTCTCTTAGCGGGAAATATAACTTATTCAATGAGAATCACAAAACCATAATATTTGAAAGGAACAAAATACCATCTGGGCCTGGAATCTGCCAAAAGGCAAAGTATCCACAACCCATTCCCCACAGATCTGTCTGAACAGTCCAATTAATATATTTGGTTATTTAATTTGTAATATGAGAATTGAGTATAAATTTCTCTCTAGATAACTCAAAATACAATTAAAACTAGGCAGAGAGCCCAGGCACTTTTCACTTTCTCTGTCTCTCCCACCCTCCTCTTTTTAAAAAGGAAGATTAATATAACAGTGTTTATGTAAAACTATTTTAATTCCTACTCATTTCTGGCTGACATAATTAACACTCTGCTGTGTTTCCCTTCTCACAGGTAAGGATTTCATCATGGCCAAAAGAAAATCCAGGAACCTGGTTCAGTGAATTTAAGAGAGGCAAGCTGGTAAGTTACCATTTCTTTCCTTTGGAATTATCCAAACTTTAAGTGCCCAAATCCAGCAAAGATGATCAATTTGTGCAAACAAGATTCCCACATGTAGTTTAATTTTCCTAAGTATCAACACATCATATCCCTTGTCTGTTTGGGTCTCAGTGTGGGCAGGCCACACGTAAGGTTGCTCTAGGCACAAAGTATTGTCAAGGATGTGTAGCACATACAAGCAGTTTTCCTTTGAACCTGGAGGAACTCAGGGCCAAGGCAGAGATACATAGACCTCTTTGATAGCTGCATGTGATTGTCCTTTGCCTTGCTTACATTGCTGCTTGTAATTATTTAGCTATGGACCTTATCACACGGGGTCTAAAGCAGTCCCATCCCCGTCGCA